TTCTTTCTGCCTATATGAAAAGTTCAGATATGCAATGATTCAAGAAACACAACAGAAAAGCTTTGAGGACCATTGTTTGTAAACTTTAGGTTCAGAAAATCTATCTCCCTCTAAAGAGAAAACAAAAATACAGTTGATTTCCAAGATAAAACACTTGGGCTTACAAAATTCATTAGGCATTAACTTATATCCTACATTTATAAGTTCACATTCCTAGTATACATTAACAGGGCAAGACAGTTCCAAGGAACCATAGAAGCAGTTCTGCTGACCAAAACCATTAGGGCTGAGTACCCAATATCCACACTAATCCTCTGCCAGGGATTTAGCTTGAACTAGCTATAGTCTGACCTGCCAGATATCTTTTCGTTTCTATGAAAAGTAGATATTTCTTTCTCCCTGATAATTTCCTCTTTCAAATACTATAATAAAATTAAGTTTATGACAACTTGAAAATCTGCTTTAGTGCTCAGGGAACTGGGAGAACCCCACAGACTAATGATTCAGTGACAAAACTAGCAGCTACATTTTTCTGAAAGAGCTCTGACATGGCAATAGAGATTTAGGTAAGAACTGTCATTGAAGAAACCTGAAAAAGCTGTTCATAGCCTCTCTGTTTACAAGCAACAAGAGTTGAGAGATAGGGCAGCCTCAACACATCAGGAGGTTGCTCAGTGCAATCAACTGACTCTCTGTTGTTCTATTTAGGTTCTGTATTCTAACCCTAACCCTAAAGTCAGTGCATGTGTTTCAATTTAAATAAAAACCCAAAGAAATATTTTCTTTACATTTATACCATCTCAATCTTTTTCCTTTCAGTTGTCATTACCTGAATATCACACACCAAACATAACTTTTTTGCAGTACCGCAAGCTGCATACTCTTTAGTCAAAGACTGTTACTATTTACAAGTATCTTCAAGAAATGTTGAGGATTTTCCCTGTCTTTGACTTCCAAGCCTGTAGATTTGTTCATATTTTCATAACCTGAATCAGAGGTCTTTCAATCCAATGGCAAAATGCCTTGCAAATATAGTGAGTCAGAGAACTGGAAAAGAAAACAATACTGAATACAAATTTCAGAGGAAGCTCTTATTGCTAGACTTGAGTTCTGAAGTTCATGGCAAACCTGCATTTGATTTCAAATGGAGAAATAGTTGATACTCTGACTACTAATTGTTCTGAAAGATCTCCCAGTAAAAAAAAACTAAAAAGATAAATACATCATTTTATTACAATATTCAGATTTTGGAAGAGAAATTCTCAGAGCTGTTTTTATGAAAAATAGTATGTCATTTAAAAAGCAGCAGAAGTTCACATTAAAAAGCAGGAAGAAAAATCTCACAAAATATTGTAAATTAGCTTAATTTTAACATTAATATTTCACTCCAAAATTCACAAATAACAAGACTTTCAAAGCTTTATATTACATTTATCTCAAAAAAAAAAAACCCAAAAAACCCAGAAGAAAAGTACAAATTGTGAAGAAAATAATACACAGAAACAGGAATATATGCACTGTACTAATCAAGGTACAAATCTGAATAGCAGAGATTTTCCTAAATATACTGATTATATTAATAGCTCTTTGAATAACAGCTGTATGAATAAGGCTGCATAAAATCAAATTTAACTGAAGCATAATTTGGCATACTAAAGGTGTCACAAAAGATATATCTGTAATTTGCAAAATGTGCTCCCTTGAAAGTGTAAAATATTCATTGCTCATCATATTTTTAAGATTATGAGCTCAGAACTTTATGAACACCAGATTTGATTAAATCCCCTTGTTGCATCTAAAGACTACCTAAAGACTCTGTGTAAGAGGAAAACAGTGGTGTGTTTTCCAGTGTCTGGAAAAAGCAGTAAGTCTGGAAGTAAATGCACAAAATGCATTATCTACAAGCTCCCTGATGACTGAGCACCAAATCAAAAGAATAAGGAATCAGTTTCTTTCAGAATAGCACTTGGGTAAGTTACTACCCTGTGTCACTTCACCTAAGATTTTGATTCACCAACATTCACCTCCACATGCAAAACATACGAACAAGATGTTTATAGTCCTACTCTGCTTGGCACTTATATTAACTAGAACTAGCACATCAAACTAATTTGGGAGATTTTTGTAGTGACATTTAATGACATTTTCACCCTACAAAGCATCAAAGGCTTCAGTGTCATTATTGACTCTGTTTTAAAAGGATCTGCAACCTGTGTTTCTTCAGTAAAACATTAATTTACTACACAAATCATTACAAAGAGCGAGGAGTATTTCTCATGCTTTATAAGGCAGTGTAACTTACATGCGACAAATTATTTATTCCTAGGTGGAAAATGCAAATAATCTGCTAAATTGTGTAGTGGTACCATTATGTTTTATGTGCTGGAAATAGCATATGCTATGAGAACACAGAAAAATTAAGATATAATTACGTACTTTATTGCAGTAAATGCTACTCAAATTGCAATTACTATTTAAATCTTAGGTCTGAAATAAACTCCACAAGGATAGGACACTATGACAAGAAATGACTCTCTACAGAATTAGAGCTTCAGAGATAATTTTTATCTCACTATTTTATCAGTGTAATGAGACAAATTATCCCCTGAGGATAAATGGACTGAACACCACTAATTTACAGAAATAAAATGAATGGCCAAAACACAAGGGGTTATCTGTTACAGGCAACATTTAATGCATTATTTTAGAATACAACTCTCCCATAGTACTTTTTTTTTAAGAAGGAGCTCTTAATTTTATTTTATAATTTGTGGTATATTGTTTATGATCATCAGGGTACATAAACATAATTTGAAACCAACAGGGAATTCTTGACCATTTCCTTTTTCCTCTTCTCCTAAAAGAAGTTTAAAGAATAAACTATATGGTCTACTACACTTTAACCCTTCATTACCACAAGTACTGCAGTTAACCTAACCCCGTGCAGGACAGAGAGTGCTCGACTGCAACGGAAGATTGTGGGCTCAGACTTGCAACTATTAAATAAGAAGAAACACTATCTACCTTGTGATCACTGTCCTAAAATTACACACCTTTCACAAAATAATGTATCCTCAAGGTCCCAAATGAGCAATGTGATGTATAAAATTTAACCACCTCTACACAGTTTCTTTAATTTTATTTCCAAGTTTTACTGAAATTCACATTTTCTTGTCAAATTATGTAATTTTAATTCTCATAATGAGACTAGCCCAAATTTTTATGTCTATATCTATTTCTACACATAGAAATGGATAACAATCACACAGGTTTGAAGATTTCATCCTGCACTGGTGATGAGGTACTAATACAGTTAACAAAAATTTTAACACCTTGAGCCTCTTAAATACACTAAAATATATTACCTCCATACTGATCTGCAGTACTCATTTCATAAAAAGGTACAGCTATATTATATGAAAGTTTGTCCTTAAATCAGAGATACAAGAGCAAAACATTCACAGCAGCATTTATAAAACTGGAGATCATCCCCATTTGAAAACCACTGGACAGTATTTATAAGACTTCATGCAGTATTTCATAACTAGAAAAAATATTCACTTATTGTAAGAGGTGTAAAACACTGAAGAGGAGTTTTGAAGCCTTCCTAAATAACCTAGTAACGAGAATGAGGACCTGTTCTTTCAATGATATTTCAAAGTATCATGGATTTAGACCCAAAAAAATTGTTGACATAAAATCTGTAAAATTATTGGCTTTATTTTAAAGAGATCTCTGCAAGACAGTGAAAGACATTTTCCTCAGAAGAAAAGTAAATAGGAAGTGAAATAAAACTTTTCAAATAAGCTATTTTATACTCTTTTGCAAATATAAAAATGCTATAAAGCTATGACATCTTCCCAGGTCAGACCACACATTCATGTTCAACTTCATTTTCAATAATCTCAGATTTATTAGTAAAAAATTACCAGCTAAAATAAACATTTATGTACAATATAATTGGAAATCCTAATATCCAAAGTTAGCTTAACATATTTTTCAGGGTTTACGCAAGCATTGTCATCCAAAGTGCAATTATTTGTGACTTTACAATAATATCTTCTAGTTCTGAATAACTTCAGTATCTCTCTTGTGTTGCCATGTTGAAAAAAACACAGACAAGAGGGGAACTCTGTAGGATCTCAAGAAATCATTTAGCATATGCAAAGATCAATTAAGCACTTATACACTATAGTCTCCAGTGCCAGATCACAGATATTATTCAAATATAGGAATAGTAATCAAAATTAACATTTATCTCATCCTATGCAGTTCCTATTGCAATGATATTGGCATCTGAATACAGCAGCACCTTCCTGATTTATGCATTTTAACTCTACTTACTCATGTCAGTAACATCCACACAGCATGTGTTACAACTCAAATGCAAGCAAGCCTTTTTCATTCAAAGTTCTTATGTTTCAGAGGAATATTATTTTCCTGAACTTGGGTCCTTCAGAAACAAGCTAGCTTCTTCTCAGTTTTGTCTACACAAAAGAGAATGTCCAGGCCAAACTGTACAAAAACCTAAGGCTTTAGGTTTTTCTCAGCTCTTTGTGTACATGAATATGTAGGGACAACAGAAAACCAGGGAACTGCAGCATGTAGTTAGGTAGTTTTTCAACAAGTTTATAAACCTTTCCAAAGAGATAATCTAAACTCCTTGTTGCATGTGTCTAACTTCACAATATTGATATCAAAGTGTATATACAATATAAAATACCTAATTTTCATAATTTTTTGTATAAATATATCACTTTGACACACTTCTCACAGTGATTTCTACATGTAAATTAAATATTTCAAATGTGAAATTGTTAGAACTTTGGGTTCACCTCTGTATTTCTATCAGAAATCTTCCTTTGCAAAAGAAAGTGTCAGATAAGAATAACTATACAGAGCACCCTGGATTCATATCAATAAAAGTATTAAAATTCTGATGTATATACTTGAAAATAATTTCTGTGTTTTCAAACAGGGATTGATAAACTGTACAGTTCTCATTCCAATCGTCCTTGCTTAGCATCACCTATTGCTCCCCATACATCAAAGACAAACTCGTCTGGAAATGCAAAGTCTCCAAGAGTTTCATCCAACGCGACTGCGAATTCATCTGGGTTTTTCTTGTCTCTTCCAGCTTCCACAATTGTAGCAGCTAAAGAGCAAAAAAAAACAAAAGAATGTCATTAACATGAAAGTGACAGCTAACATATATGGCCAAGACAGTTTTAGAATGTCTATTTTCAAAACCTGCTAAGGTCAGCTTAGGAAGATTTAAAGTTTACCTGCTGAATTGAGGATTCAACAGGAATTATGTACTTAAATTCCCCCACACCAGCTACACTGGGCTCTGATAAACAGAAGAGCTTCCTTGGAGTGCTTGTTATACATTCTCCTGTTTGTTTGGCAGAGATTTAATTTTGAATTCAATGAACCTTCATTTTAATCTTATTAAATTAGATTCTCTCTTCATTACTGAAGGCACATGAATCATGGGCCTAAAAACAAGGTTATGCACAACTCTTGTGTGACAATGTGACCCACACCAGGTCATCACCAACTTCAGCAAATTTGATATGAGCTTGCTGACCTAAACCAGAAGATCGAAAAGCAATCTTGAGTGGTTTTTGACTCTAAGCAACGAAGAAAAGATCTCAGCATGTCAGAGCTATGGAAAATAACTGTCGTGGTTTAACCCCAGCCAGCAGCCAAGCCCCACACAGCTGCTCACTCACTCTCCCACCAGTGGGATCAGGGAAAGAACTGGAAGGGTAAAAGCTGGAAAACCCTTGGGTTGAGATAAAGACAGTTTAATAGGGAAAGCAAAAGCCACACACTCAAGCAAAGCCAAACAAGGAATTCATTCACTGCTTCCCATGGGCAGGAGGTGTTCAGCCATCTCCAGGAGAGCAGGGCCCCATCACACATAGTGGTTCCTTGGGAAGACAAACGCCATCACTCCAAACATCCTCCCCTTCCTCCTCCTTCCCCCCACTTTATATCCTGAGCATGATGTCATATGGAATAGAATATCCATTTGGTCAGGTTGGGTCACCTGTTCCAGCTGTGTCTCCTCTCAGGCTCCCACACACCCCCAACTTCCTTGCCAGTGTGGCAGTATGGGAAGCGGAAAAGCCTTGACTCTGTGCGAGCTCTGCTCGGCAAAAACAAAAGCTTCTCTATATTATCAACCCTGTGTTCCTCACAAATCCAAAACATAGCCCCATAGTAGCCACTGTGGAAAATTAACTCCACTCCAGCCAAAACCAACACGACATGCAGCCTGCATAATAGATATATGCAACCAAGCTGGATAGGTTTGCTAGAAGGAACCCACATTACATGAGTTTAAATGTTTAAAAGTTGAGCATGACCTGCATATAGAAAGGACTAATGATAAATAAGCCTTGAATACCCTATTTTAGGAAACAGTAATTCAAATATGAGGCTCAACTAATGTGTTGTGTAAAATACAGAGAAAATTAACACCTGTCTTGTTATGTATTTGACACTGTTTGCACCTGCCTGAAAGAAGTTGTGCTCTCAAAAATCTACCACATGACCTCAAAGAGATTTGCTTAATTTTTCAACTTAATTTTATTTTAGCTTATTTTTTTAACCAAAAAGCCACCTCCAGTTAGTAAAGAGACTGAGGCATTTATTGTGAGCCACATTATTCTACTGCTTGGATCCACTTTTTCCATACCACCTAAACTAATTTCAGTGCATGAGTTTGCTTCAGTTATTATTACCTCCAGCTCTGAAAAGCACATCTTTAATTTGTAGTACCCTCAAGGCTGGGAAATTTTGTGCTTAATCCACTAGAAAGTGAAAAAGTGATTTCTGAAAGTCTCAGCCAAGCAGTTCAAATTGTGCAAAAGCATAGGAAAGGCCTTGCTGCTCAAACCTCTCTAGGTCATGGCACCTGCACCTCCCTCAAGGGTGAAAAGTCTCAGCATAGGAGTTTCTCCTGGATGAGTTAGCCCAGGAGAACCACTTGCAGCAAGTTATCTTGGTTTGAGGGCTGCAGAATACTCTGTAAAACAGATTGAGGACAAACAGCACTGCTGAGTACAGTTTATTTTCTGAGCTGTATCTCTGTTCCACAGCCTCTTTCAAATTCACAAGAAAATGATGGCATTGTACAATAGCTGAAACCCTCAAAGTCTGCTTCATTTTGTGATTACTTTACACACCTGCCTTAAACTGCAACGTCTTCTATCTTTTGTTATACATACATCAAGTAACTGCCACCTTCTTCATGAGCATACCAAATTCAAGTGTCACACTGAAGGATTTGATAGCTTCTAGCCTTTTTTCAGAGAAATATCCAAATGGAAAATGCATATTACAATGCCTGAGAAAGGGAAGGAAGCTTTGAAGCCAGAGAAAAACATCCTCACTGAGATAGTTTACCATCTACCATGTGCACTGTATTGAATCAGCATGGCAACATCTCTCTGATAAAAAGGAAAATAAACTTTTCCTGCTCTGAAGTTGTACTAAATTTATTTAATACTATATTGTTGACCTGAAAGTCAGCTCAAATTTATTGACTGTTATGAACTTCTGGCAAACAGTATTTGCTGTTGTGCAAACTTGTAACAAGCTATAAGCAAGCTTGAGCCATATTCCACACTGTAAACTTCAACAACAGTAACTCTGAAGTAACTCAACATGTTCAGACATGAGGCTCCAAACACAATCACAGTGGGCCAAACAACACCAATCAGTCCAAGGAAAATATACATAAATCTTTACAAATAAACTGCTGTGATGGAGACAGTGTAAGTGTAACCCAGGGTCCCAGGCACCACAAGTGGTTCTCAAGGACTCTCAAGACCTATTTCCCTGCCAGAAGAAATCCTATCCCTATTGCATTGATTCTCTCTGTGTCTCCTGCAAAGTTCCCATTTGGACAAGTCTGGATGGGAAATAGGCATTAAACAGGGAACTCTTCTTCCTGACAAGTGGAACACAAGGATTTATCCTATTGATGCCACACTATATTCCCTGACATTGTGCCATAAGAAGGCACTTCCAGAGGAGCAACACTGGAGGTTGCACAATGAAGGGTGTAATAGAAAATTCACAGATTTCTGAATATGAACTTTTTCTGTACAGACACTGGGAGAAGGTTGGAGGGACAAGAGCTGTGCAAGCTGACACCAGAGCAAACATGTCACGATATAGTTATGCAAGGTATTAAAAAAACCTACCATCAACAGAGTGATGATCTAGACAAGTGTTCAAGCAGGGTAGGAACAAGGAATTTAGCCAATTTTAGGATAAATTGGTTAAGAGATATGGAAGAGCCATATGACACAGACAGCAGCAATAAAAAAAACACAGCATTAAATCACAGTCCAGCTGCCCTAGCTGAAGTTTCATAATTGCGCAGTAATAAATTGCCATTAACAGAAAATGCAACTTCAAACACAATTTGCTTTAAAGATTGATCTTCCCAAAGAAAGAATAGAATCTAAAAAAATAGTTTATTAGAGATTTATGAAACTTAAAAACAAAACCCACTAAACTTAGACAAGCAAGACAACTTTCAACCCAGTCAAGCAGCAACCAGCACATCACCAGTGTGCTAATGCAGCCTCAAATAAAAACATCTTCACCTGTATTGAGCACTACCAGGGTGCATTTTGGTACTGTGCTCAGCAGAGCACATTCCCGGGCGCTCCCGTGGAATTCCTGCGGACCGTGCCGGGGGAGCGGGTTGGGTGGCGCAGTGCTGCCCTCCAGTGGCCGCAGGGCTGTACTGCACCCGCGAGTTCACCCCCGTGACTGTGCAGAGCCGCACGCTGCTTCGCTGGGCTCATGCACAGAGAACTCCGCTCAGCTGCAGCGTTTCGGAATCCTTAAAAAAAAGTTAGCACAGCATCCCTGGGCTGGCACAGCTGTGCAGAACACGCTTGTTCACACAATGTCATTGGTGATGTGGAATTCTCAAGGCAAATCAAATCCTACTGATTGGCAAGGCATTTAGCACATACTTGCCAGTCAGAAGAGAACTTTGCTGGTTCTCCGAGGGTGACAGCTGCGTGCCAAATCGTCTTCACTCCCCTCCCTTTTCCCCACTGCTTCGTGTAAGAGTAGCACAATAAGACATTACAGAATTTTATTCCAATAGAATACTTTTCCACACTCACGAGTGTTTTCAGTTTTTTTCAGTTTTTTCAGTTGTTTTCAGATTTTCTTTTTTTATTTTCACTTCAGGCAATGTTAATACCTGATAGGTTTTTACATAAAATGTGAAAAGCTCTGCAATCTTAAAAGTGATGAAAGGAATTAGAAGTCTTCTCAACTTTAACTGAGAAGCTCAATATCAGGTTTCCCAGTATGTGAACAAAGTAGGATGTTGGCTTTTTAAACCCAGTTCCTTTAAAATAGCTTCAAAGATATTACACAAAATCCTTATTTTCACTTTTAACAGACACATGTCATGAAAGCTACCTTGTGCCTGCCATTCTTACCATCTACCTTACATAGTGGGTTTGCTACCTATACCCTATACTGTAACTTCTAAAAAAAATCCATTTTTCAGAAGTCAACAGGAACCTCAATATTTATTTAACTGCAATGCTATTAGAACTTTTACCTTCCTCAGAAGGTAACAAATATTGTTATTCTGCCCTGCCACTTTAGAGCAGAAAATGAAGCATGTCACCGGAGTTTGCAGTACTTAACATTACTTTAAGTTTCATGTTGAACATTGTCAGATCTGGCACTCAGGGAGTCATTAGAAATATTATTTGTTCTTTTTCTTTATATTAACTACTAATTCTTGAAGTGAATAAGTTTTCTTGTTTAACTGGACTTGCTGCCTTTCCTTTTTTTCACAAAACTCCCATTATTCTCTCAGAGTAAATGAACTGCCATAAACAATATAACACAAAATGTATACAATAAAATCCTTTGGAAAAGTATGGTTTGGTGACAGAAGGAGAAGAAAACAACTGATTCAGGGAGAATACTACTTCAGTTAAAGCATTTCAAAATAGAAACATCTACTGAATATTGCTGGGTTGGATTTGTGAACCGAAAGGAGGAACTCGGATGACAAAATGTTCAAACCAGTTAGAACATTTTGACTAGATGGTAAGTTTGAAAAATGAAGAGTGGAGAAGGAGATTTTAAATTCTTCTAAACAAAGATGGAGAATATGCAAGGATATTTCAGTCTGACCTTGGTGCTGAGGAAGGTTATGGAACAGATTATCTTGAGTGTGATCACATGGCACATATAGGACAACCAGGAGATCAAGCCCAGCCAGCATGAGTTTAGGAAAGACAGGTCCTGCCTGACCAACCTGATCTCCTTTTATGACCACCTAGTGGATGAGGGAGAAACTGTGGATGCAATCTACCTGGTCTTCAGTAAAGCCTTGGATACTGTCTCCCACAGCATTCTCATGGAGAAGCTGGCAACCCATGGCTGCACCAGGGGAGGTTTAGGTTGGGTATCAGGAAGAATTTCTTCACTGAAAGGGGTTTAGTATTGGAATGAGCTGCCCAGGGAAGTGGTGGAGTTACCACTGCTGGAAGTGTTCAAGAAATGACTGGACATTGCACTTAGCCTACGGTTTGGTGGGCACCGTGGTGTTCAGTCAAAGGCTGGACTTGATCATCTTGGAAGTCTTTTCCAACATTAATGATTTTATTATTCTATGATATGCAATGTCTAACAATATTATAGGGAGCAACAAAAAGGAATTAATCATCCAAATGCATAAAACTAGAACAAAACAGAACAAAACACCAGTGGATGAAGACTTAGCCAAAAGATGACATAAAAAATTTGGACAGGATGCCTTTTGAAATAATTTTTCAATCAGTAGCATTCTGGGGTTGGATCTCATAGATCCATGCTTCCTCCCACCCAGAATTTTTTGGATCAAATACGGTACATAACAATTCAAGTCTTACTGATTTAAAAAATAAATACCACCAGTACTTTTCACTAACACTGCTTCCTGAGGTGCTCCTGTTAGTCAGCTCTTCAAGTTGCTTTACCAGAAAGCATTCATGGAATTTAAAATAACCTGAATTATCTCTCAATGGTGCATTTATGTTTTAAAGTAAGCTGAAGTCAAGCCATGGCCCAATTTCTAACGTGCCCATAAAATGGCTGAGGAACATATTTCCAGAGCCAACTGTCCCTTCTGCAGATTAAGTTCAGCTTTCAGTAAATGAGTAAAGAAGTAAAAAGGTAAAAGTGCATCCAAAAACAGGTATGTAAATCTCAACAGCATTTAGACCTCTGGAAATAAAAAACTGTGCAACAAAAAAAGTGCATGCATTTCCATTAATGATTTCCAAGTATTTTGCTCCAGCTTGAGGATTTGTGTGTAGAGTTAGTCAGCCATTCTTGAAATTGTCAAGATACTTAACTATGCAAAAATTAAGGGCTTTATCTCACCTGTAATTCTGTCTGTAATTTCTTTCCTTTATTTCTAACTTACGGCTTAAAACTGGGGCACTGTTTTAGAATTCAATCACACCATGGAAGTGTCATTTTAATGGAGATGAAAGAGCAGCATTAACTGACATCCAAAGATTCTGACAAACAGAACTGCAAGGGAGTGAGCAATGATTGAGATCTTAATCACTTGTCAGCTGCACATTGTGATGACTTGCATTTTCAACTAATCTGGCTTGAGTAATGAGTGAAATTTCTAGCTAAGTGGTGATTGGCATTCTCTGAATGAATCTTTTCCTCATATTTCATTTTCATGGGTGACTGATCACATCCAGCATATGAAAAACTGACATGTGTTAATTGAACAGATTTGTGACAGGTGATTAGCTCCCCTTTCCTAAAGAGTCCTAGAGCTGTTTAATTGTTTAAAAATTATAAAGCTTTATTTCTGTCATCACTGTTGCCCACTGACTCTCAGATTTGAACTTCAGGATATGGCTTCAAAGATGCAAACTAAAGCTACATGAACCCTAGAGTCTTTCATTCCTGACAGCTTCTCTTGGCTTCACTGCCTTTTGGGGAGGAAGAGAAGAGGTGAAAGACAAAACAACCACCCAGTCAGGAAGAAGAGAGTCTCTCTGAGAACAAAGACCTCTTCCTTCTTTGAGCATTCTTTTAAGGCATTCTTTGAAAGCACCCAAACTACATACTGACAGATGAAGGGCATTAGATCTTTTCTGAGGGAAAAAAAAAATCAAGGAATTAATGGGAAGACTCTACCAGGTGCTTGGCAATCAGTTCAGCCTTATGTGTTGAAAGCTGAACTTCTCAGTCTACTGTGCAAGAGCCATCCTGTTACAGCACTGAGAGCCAAAACCACAGGGAACACCAGTTCCCACGGGAACTTGCTTCCTTGTCCCAGAGCAGTGCACAGTAGTCTCTCAGCATTCAAAGTAAACATGCTCTAGCATAGTATCTCAGGGCTCTGAGCTATGGACACCAAAAGCAGAATATCTATAGCTGCTCATTCCTGTAGAGCAAGGAGCCTGGGGACCTTGGAAGTGACCTGCAAGGACAGGAGCCTCCAGAAGTCCAGCTTGAGCCAGGACTGCAACAGCTGCAGGACAAAAACAGCTCCCCGAGAGGACAGCTGGCATGAGACTCAGAGCTTTGAAGCCTGAGCCAGAGATGGACTGAGACACAGAGGTTGCAGGAGAGAGACAGGACATGGAATCCTCCCTAGCCTAAACATGGCTCAGCCACCACACAGGGCTCCCAGGAGCATATTACATGGCAGCAGCATCACATATTTGAGTTGTTAGGAACAGGTTTTTTTGAGAACTTCTAGTTTTGTGTGAAGAGGAATCTTTAGCTATCACCTAGAAAACAGAATTTACAAAGTCTGGGCAGCTCTGTCTGCTCTTCTATGCCAGGAAGCCCACCTCTACCTTAGACTGATGGACAATGTTTTACTTACTAGTTTTCTCACTACTTTTTCTGTAAGAAAACTAGCAGAAGCTGCCAATCATATACTTGCTGATAGGAGCAGCCAACAAAGGACTTTTGGCTATTCAAATCACCTCCTTTTGTTCTCATTCCTCTGTACTAACTGCTGCCTCTCCAACCCAGCTGCTTTGTCCTTAGCTTCATGCCAGACCTATTTTCTCTTCTGCTGTGCCTTCTCCACTTCTATCTCATGAAAGCTTTCTTTTCAAGATCACTTTCCATTTAGCTTATTCTTTCCCAAGTCTTGGCTGATTTTTTTTAGATACCTTACTCTTTGTTTCAGTATCAGCACTTCCACAACATCCTATGAGAACTACACCAGCCACAGCTGGCTACAGACACAGCTAGACTGCAGCTTCTTCCCATACAAACAATAATTCCTATTCAGTTGTTGTTAGAATAACAAAGAAAAGCAGCAGCTGCAAGGACAAGTTTGGTGCAGATTTAAGGAACATATGACACTGGGATTGAATAGTTTCTTTCATTATAAATTGATGATTCTGATAACTAGTAAATATTCCACAAGTTTTCCATGTTCTTCAGAACGCAGGCTTTAGAGAATTTGATAAATTTGTGCAATTACTCTGTCAGTTCCTTTGCTAAATAGTTGCCCTTTCACTGATTAAGATCACATATTCAAACTTTAGCAATCAACTTTGATGTGCCTAAGCCAAGGGGCAAAAGAGCAAATAGATATACTTAACCTTAAGAATCCTTAAACATGGTACACACAAGATCCACTAGAAAATATATGCCAGAAAGAATACAGTGGTGACAGTTATGGCAAACGACAAAAAAATTCATGCAACAGTGTATAGATAATGTGCAGGAAGAATAGAGGATTAATTAATTACATCATAAGGTTTGTAGTGGGAAATACTTTTATCAGATGCATACATCTGCAGAAATACATGCAAGCTTTTGAGACTGCAAGCTGGACAAATTTTGCTTCACTTATGTCCAGAGACTAAAGTAAATCCTACATCACTTACATTCAGAGACTCAATAAATTTTAGAGTACACAAAATGAGAAATTATTTAATCTTGTAGCAATGTAAAGTGAGTAAAAACTCACCTAATTCAGTGTCTCTTATCCCCATGTATGTTTCAAGAAGCTCATCCACTTTATTAATTGCTTTTTCTTCAATTTCAGTTGGCTTTGTTGAAATAAAAGGAGAAAAAGAGCAAAAGTATGATTACATCCATGTAGATTTCAAAGAAACCAACAATTTGCCACTGATTAACCTTACTTCCATCTTAGCCACCTAGACTTACAAAACCTATGAATAAAACATGACAATCCAATCTCTT